CATCACCAGTGCTAGTGCACTGATCACAAGTACTGATGAGGTTACCTAGTTTGGGTAATGAAACGTCTGTAAGAAAACAATCAAGCTCAGAGAACACCAAGGACCGCTCAGAATGACAAGTGCCCAATGTTGTCATCACACAAAAGCTACCATTATTTACTTACTTTATTTATTTTGTCAAGCAATTATAAGATAACAGGTATAAGTATAAACAAAGTTATGAATACATGAAATGGATACATATAAGAAAAATAAAAAAGAAACAATAGGACAGGGATGGTAGGCACGTTGGTGCGCTTATGCACACCCCCTGCAGACCTCTTAGGAAAGGGGTGAGGTCAATAGTAGACAGTCTAAGGTTAAAGTTTTGGGGGTTTGGGGAAGAAACCAAAGAGGCAGGTAGAGTATTCCAGACATTGACCACTCTGTTGCTGAAGTTGTATTTTCTGCAATCAAGTTTGGTGCGATTAACCTTGACTTTGTATCTATTGTGTGCTCTTGTATTGTTATGGTTGAAGCTGAAGTATTCATTGACAGGTAGGACATTGCAATGTATAATTTTATATACTATACTTAGATCAGACCTAAGGCGGCATAGTTCTAGGTTTTTTAGGTCTAGAATTTCAAGTCTGGTGGCATAAAGTATTCTGCAACAAGTAGAGGAGTGGAGAACTCTTCTTGTGAAATATTTCTGGACTTTCTCAACTGTGTTAATATCAGATACGTAATGCAAGTTCCAGACTGATGAGCTGTATTCAAGTATTGGTCTAGCAAATGTTTTGTATGCTCTTGTTAGTAGTGTGAGAAAAAGAGAGAAAAAGCTGCGTAGGATTAGGTTAACAACTCTTAATGCCTTTTTGGCTATGTAGTTACAGTGGGCTCTAGCACTTAGATCATTAGAGACAAGAACTCCAAGGTCCTTGACAGAGTTTGGATCTCAACATCCAATGAAAGTATATACTGTAAGTCACAGCATTTGATTAAGTCAGCTTCAGAAACATATTGTTTCCCTCTTTCCTACCTGGGAACACTTGTATTTATATAATATTTTAAGCCAAAAGCTAATTACACTTTGGCTTAGTACAAGGTATGTGCTTCTCCAACAGACATGGGTCAGGACGAGTGCAGTATGCATTCAGAAAATTACATGATACCGTACATTCTTATAACACCTTTCTTTTGCTGTCAAATTTAGAAGATTATGCAAAGCTCCAGCTAAAGAAGTTTCCCTTTTTACAGGTATATTGAGATGTGTACCTTAATGGAAGACTTGACAGGTTGAAATACTTGGGTTATCTCCAAGATTTTTTTCCTAATAGGTAAAGTTTCTCCTATAGGTCAAGCTTGACTCCTGGTGAGTGGGTCCATGCAATTTTCTTGACAGGCTTTTCCCTAGCATAGCTGTCAATCTCGATTTTTCCAGGCACTGATCCTTATTCTAGAACAGGCAGAAGTCTCATAGAGAAACTCAGATGGACTAAAAATTGTTTATTGTGGACAAGACCCAATTCAGCTTAGCTTCTGAGTCTACCCAAGATGAACCAGGTGTTGTCACTTGTTGAGAGTTTCTTAAATGGCCTTGATTTCTCAGACAGTAACCAAGAAATACTAGGGGGCTTTCTGGAAGGAAATACATTTGTGGAGCTGTAGAAATTTGCTGGCAGGGCTGTTTGGAATTAGGAATTTACATTATTTGAGTTGCAGCTGCCTCCTTTGAAGCATCTTTGGGGTTTGTTTGTTGACTAATAAGGCAACTCTGTTTTATGTGCAACCATAATGTACACTCAAAATGCATCGCCAGATACTTAGTGAGCTACTAGGGATAGCAGACTATCAATAATGCAAGTAGAAAGGCAAGGAAAGTAGATTATGCATATCATTATGCACGAACATGCTACAGTCATTGATATTCCAACATATTAGGATCATCTAGAGATTGTCGATCTATACAGTCCAGATGACAAGAAAGTCTCATTGTAGCAGAGGGATTGGTTGACAGCAACTTAGTCAATTAGCCAGGAGAAATTAACTAAATTTGCCAACTGATTCATTATCATCAGAGGATCAGAATCAATGATTCTGAAACTAGCACATCAAATAAAATCAGCATATTGACAATCTGAGCAGGTTTCTAGACATTTGTGATGTTTGAAAATACATGGAATATCCTCATGGGCATATTAAAATGCAGAGAGAGATTCAGAAGGGCTTAGATCTTCAATATCTGTGACAGAAGGCTGAGATTTCATCTGAAGAAGATATTAAATCCATAAACTTGTATCTAATTTCACTTTCATCATTACAGTAGAACAGCCTCTATGCTTCATCCTTGTGGAGTCCCCTCCCCCCAAACTACATATTTGCTCCAATATAAACAAAGAGAAGAAGAACAATTATCTGTAACGTATTTATTTGAGTGTCTCCCTCCAAAGTGAACTTGAGTGTGTCTCTCAAAAGTGAAAATCTGATCTTGGAAAATCCTAAACTGAACCAATACACTGAAACCCTAAAATCTCTCTTGACACCACCATTCACCCAGCACTGTGGATCTTTATGATAAGCACTTTTTTTTTTTGCAAATTAATATAGCACACACAGGTTGAAGATTCATTCTCTTTGAATTGCATGCTTATTCCTTGTGATGAGGAAGAAGGGAATCACAATAGTTTTAAACCAGTGCAAGTTTCTTGAAAATTATTTTAAATGCTACCCCTTATTAACACATCTGGGACTAAATTGCTGGAAAAAGCATTGCATGCATGTGTATTACATACTGTAGGATTTGAAAACTGATCAAGAAATCACTTTCTGTACAGTTAAGTTGTTGCTGGCAAAGGCAAGATTTCTAGTTGTCCACACCAGTGAATGTAAAGAATTAGAAAGAGACTGTGATGGAAATAAACATTTCCTAGACAAAGGGGACATTTTTTAAGCCTTAAGAAATAAAAAACCATTCGGAAGTGGCTTAGGCAGATACAGCTCCCATTCACTGGAGTATAAGAAGGGAGAGGAGGCAGATATTCAAAATCAGACTTATGAGTTCTGCTATTATAACCAACCTCAATAAGAGTACTTCTTATTTTCTTTGGAGCTGATTTCCTAGTCTGTCTTCCTAGTTTGAATGAAAGAGCAGAAGAATTTGCAGAAGTATATTGACAGTAAACTTTCTGGAAAGAGTTAGCAGTCAGATAAGTTGGCTGAGTCTTGGAATCTGTGCATTTTTTTTAACTACCCATTTTTTTTCCTGTTCCAAAATATCACCATCCCTCCAGACCCTATGTGACAACTCATTCAATATTCCCAAACATAAATGATGACAAAGTAAGTGCAGAATTTAGGGAAGGAGAAAGGGAAGTTCTACATAAATTAAAACAATATGGTACCTAGAAGTAGTTTTTACACCTCATACCGAAAAGGTATAAGAAAGAATTTTGTCCCCTACTTCTTCAGATTCTGAGATAGAGCTAGAAAGTAAAAGAAATTCCATCCATCTATAATGTCATCTTTCCACAGTTCATAGAGAGCCCCTTTGCTCTGTTCTCACAGGCTACAATCAATGTATTTTCAACAGTGAAGGGTCTACCTTCACATTTCTCTCCTTCCCATCTCTCACCGAAATAAGGCTCAGTGCTTATCCTGAAAAGACCTACAGAAATTTACCAAGCAAAAAGCAGATGCCTCAGAAATGGCAGAGAAAGTTTCCATAAAAATCCCATCTTGTGTAGGTCTCGGTGCTCTTTGAGCTTGGCTGCTTTTGTGCAGATGTTTCATTACCTGGCTAGGTAACATCTTCAATGCTGGAAGGGAGTGGGATTTGCTGTTCATATACAATAGCTTGTCCTGACAGTATTGGTGGGGGTGATGTTTTCTCTTTGATAGTCCTATCTTCCCATAGATCTCTGCAGAGCTGTGTTAGCCCAGCAATGTAATCCAGACAAGAAGCATAACCAGGAGTATGAACTGTTTATTATAAGATTACATTAACAAAATGTTGCTAGAGTGAAAGTATCCCCCACCCCAACCTCCTTTTACTCTCCAGAAAACTAGGGAGGGTTCCCTTTGAAATATTTCCCACAGCATCCTCTTTTTCTGAGGACTAAGCCATCTTTTATATGCTGGTTGTCCAATCTGCAGCTGCCCCTCCTGTCTCCCAAGGACATTCCCACATACATTACATACAAGCTATCAAGAAAAGTCTCAAAAGAATGGGGAAGCCCAGGCTAAAAGAGACAGGCTTGGGTGACAATGGCTGATAAGCTAACACAAGATGTCATCATTATATCAATCTATACCACATTCAGGGTGATAATTGTGAAATATGTTTCAACTTTTTTTCAACTTGAGCTTCCTTTATTGTGCATTTTACTTCAAGGAAGCAGTTCTTTTTCTCTGCTCAACTGTAATCAACACGCCATGTAATATTCTGAAATCTGAGGGAGCTCCCATTTCCAACTTTATGTACCTCAGGACACCAGCCCTTTCTTGTGCAAGCATATGACTCTTCCACCCCTTTCCCCTGACAATCTCCAATGACAATTTTATGTGACAGGCTGTTTTTTGAGATAGTTCTGACATACTGTCACAACCTGTGTTCTCACTCAGTTCTGTTGTTCTACAGACTGTAGACAACTGCTGTCCAAAAATGTGTCATGGCCTTCAAAAACCCAGGAAGTGATCCTTCTAGAAACATTTGAATCTCTGCTAAGCAGATGTCCCAAAGGTGCTTTTTCAAGAGGCAACTACGTGTTCTTGGGGTTTTTTTTTGAAGGCTTGTCATCCAAGAAGCTTCTTCAAGTCTGAACATCTAAGCAGATGTTGACTAAGCTATCTTAAGGATTTTTTTTTAAAAAAATGTTACCTTTTGTGCAATTTTATTTTCAACTGTTAAAGGTTTTATATTTTAGCTTCAAATCCAAAGCTTGCAGGAGAAAGGGAAAGAAAAAAAAAACTATTCTAGCATTGCTCTGTCATTAAATGCTTTTAAATCTGTCTTTCTCTAGTACTGGATAAATGAATACACCTCCACATTGGGTATTGGAGTCTTCCATTCTGGAATTGAGATCTACGGTAGAGGTATGGAGTTTTCTGTGAATTATGCCTAAAAATAGCTATAATATTCCACTTTAAAAAACAAAGGGGGTGGTGTCTCCTTGAGGTTGTTTTAGGGAGAATTAAAAATGGTATTTTTTAATAGGGCTGCAAAAAAAAACACCCCTACATGTGGTGAAGGGTTGGCACAGCTGTTAAGAGCAGCAGTCACTTAAGAAAGCAAAAGTGCAGATGGAAACCCACTGAATAGATTAAAAATTATATTAAAAATAATATAATGGCTTTTCTAATGGTATAATGTATAGCTGTGAGAACTAGATACTAAGAAAGAGCCAGGGATAGGAGATACTCTTGAATTATGGATTGTGAAATGGTTGCTAAGATGATCATGAACTGCAAGAAGAATCAATCCTGGATGAAATGAAAATTGATGGCTCCCCTGATGCAGCAAGTAGCACTCAGCTATTACGGGCATCTGATACAAATGGATGGCAGTCCACGCTTGGCAAAGTTGAGGCAAGTAAGAGAAGGGAAAGACAACAGATGGACAGGATCTGGATAAGTGAAATATCCTTAAAAGATCTGTGGATTGCTGCTGAGACAGGCAGAGATGGTGGACATTTGTCCACCGTCATGAGGGCTGATTCTGATTCAAAGAAATCTCCCTAAGTGAACCAAGTCTCGACATCAAAGGCTGTAAACAACCATGTGACTGCAGATATGATAAGGTACATTAAAACTGTAGGCCAATACCGTATATCATTGGGAGTTACTGTGAGATTCGAGGCAGCAATTTTTGAAACTCGGCATCTTTGAAATGGAAAATCTCTAGCAGCACAGATATTTTCCTTTATTTCAATATATTTCTTTACTCACTCCAAAAGAGAGTTGTTGTTTTTTCTTGCATTTTACAAACATGGGATCCATTTTGGAAGCAGAAAGCAACTCAAATTACAGACTCCGCAATTTTACACAATTGTGTTCTAAGAGCTATGAGTCACCTTAAAGCAAGGGTGGGGAATTATGGCCCTTTTATGACCTGTGAACTTCTCGGAGTTGAAGTCCACAAATCATAGAGGGGCCATAGTTCCTCATCTCTGCCTTAAAGAGTCGAGGAGATGACTCGGGGGCGGGGGGTGTGCAGTCAAAGAAGGAAGTGCTGCTAAACTGCTTTGAGCTGCATGGTAGCTCTGCAGAACTTGAAGTACTGTGATACAGGTGTTAGACTAAGATTGGGGTGATCCCAGTTGAAATTCATCTTCCATCATGAAAACTAATTAGGTGATGTTTGCCAAATTTTGTTCATAGGGTTGTTACAATTGGGATAACTTGAAGGAAGAGTCTCAAATAAATTTGTCTTAAACTCTTATTGGAAAGGCACATGTAATAAATACAAATAATCTGAAGATCTTGGTCACATTGCTCTCGGATGCAAAAGCTTCTTTGTATTTTAATGGATGCATCACTCAGCATTCCCATGATTGATCTCCTGATTTGTTGGGCTGCAATTCCAACAATTCCCAGCCATTGTTAGAAATTGTATGGAGTTGCTAAGAATTGAGCATAATTATTCCAATGGTTTCTGACTATTCAACAATGAATGCAACCTCATTTGCAAAGCTGTATATTTATTCAGCAGTGTCCTATTTTAAAAACAAAAGTCCGGGACTAAGACTAGCTAGTTCTTGCTTTCAGGGAAAGAACAAATATATTATCAACTGGTTCCTGAATCTGACTACCGTATTAGTCATTGGACTCAACTCTCAGAGCAGATTCCAAAGAAAATTAGAATTGCAACAAGATAATCTGAGAGTTGGGCTGAGTTTCAGGCTGTTGAATTTTCTCCTTTGCTCTACACTTTTATTCAGTTGCTTCAAATTCTACTACAAAGTTATGATGAAAAAAAAAGTGGGGGGGATGATTTAGGGATCAAGGTAGTTCAGTGAGGTTGAATCTGCTCAAGGGCCACAGAATAACATCTTGGAAAATTTAATGGAAAGTAGGATGGAAGGAGAGGACATTTTATGGCAAGTCAAATGGCATGTACAGCTTCATTTCATGCATCGGTATTTTGCTATACGTGTTGTTACAAGTATATCTTCTACCATCATTACCATTATCCAATCATTGGATGACACTTCCAAAGCAGCTGACCATCCAGGATTTACATCTGACACGCACACATAGAAAGTTTGATTGCCACCCTTTAATCCCAGAAAAGAAACAAGGTGTGATAATAATACTTAGTGAATTCATATTAAAAGTTTGTTTTTTGCACATGGTATTATATGGACTGGAGCAAGCTGCAGAATATTCCAGAAATCTATCAGCTTATCTTTCAGTCTTGGTGCTTGATGCCGACTGAAAGCTAGCTTGGCATAAAGGCCCTGTTTGATCAAATACATTGGAGTAGATTGCAGTAGATAGGAGTAGATTTCAGACTAAGGGGCAGAGTAGTTAAAGATGTTGAGCTTGTCAGCTGGAGTACTGACAGCCTGGGTTTGAGATTCGAGCTCTGTGCAACAGGGTGAGCTCCTGTTATTTTCCCCAGCTCCTGCCCACCTAGCAGTTCGAAAGCATGCAAGTGCAAATAGATCAATCGGTACCAGTTCGGTGGGAAAATAACAGTGTCGTGTGCATCTTTGGTGTATAGCCACGCTGACCGCATGACCATGACTGACAGAGATACCTTTACCTTAGATTGCAGACTAGTCCGGTCTCTTTGAAGGAGGAAGAGAAGCAAGTTACGTAGCTGTAGATGGAAAGTGTCGCACTGTACCCTATCTTAACTTGAGCCAGAATCCCACCGCAAATGCTGCTCTTGCGTTCTTAATTACGGTCTTTTTCTTTTCTTGCTAGAGTTTGCCTATGGAGGACATCCCTATCCTTTCAGTGGGATTTTTGAGATCACACCAGGCAGTGCGGTGGAGCTTGGAGAGACCTTTAAATTCAAGTAAGAGCTCTTCTACCCTTTCTCTGGATTGGACACCTGCAGGGCATTGTCCCATTTTCTGCTCCCTTCCCAAGGCATTCCTTTCTTTGATTCCTTCTGAGAATCAAGGAAGCAGGTGGAAATCAGCATATACACAAGTATGTAGGGTTGTCATCTTAATTTTATAGTGTAATATAAAATAGCCATGGACAAGATCTCATTTTGTACTCTTCAGAGCTGCTTCTGACCATGAAACTTGAAAACTGCCAGCAAAATGTCTCCTATTAAGGGAGAAAATAGAAAATAACTGTAGTATTACTCTTAAAAGAAATCCATCACAGGTAGCAAACAAAGAACCGCCTCGAACTTAATTAATTAATAGATTCAGAACAGTTCTGTGCCCAGAAACCTAAAACTAATAAGGGATACCAGTGCATGCAAAATAGATGTTTGTGCAGGTAAGATTATCAACCTTGATGCCAACCAAAACCAAGCATTCAATAGTGGGTGCCATACCAAGTGCATTAATCAAATTGGTGGCAAGAAAGTAGGGGCAGGTAGGCACAACACCGGTTATGGAGACAGTAAACACAGTGTCAGACATAAAGATCTCAAGTGCCTATATACAAATGCACAAAGTCTGGAGAACAAACAGGGTGAACTTGAACTATGAATACATGAAGGTAAATATGATATAGTTGGAATAACAGAAGCTTGGTGGGATGAAACCCATGACTGGTACATACTGGTAGAAGGATACAAACTATTAAAAAAAAACAGACCCCATAAAAGAGGAGGTGGAGTTGCACTATATGTAAAGGACCACTATATTGCTACAGAAATGCATGAAACCAAAGATGAAAACCTCCTAGAATGCATATGGGTCAATATAAAAGAAAAAAAGAATGATGTGGCCATAGGTGTATATTATAGGCCACACAATCAAACAGAAAATATAGGTGTCCTTTTTGCCAGCCAACTAACAAACATATACAGGAAACACACAACAATAGTAATGGGAGACTTCAATTATCCTAATATCATTTGGAAAACTTATTTTGCACCAAGTGAGAAATCAAATAAGTTCCTAACCAACCTAGCTGACAACTTTGCTGTCCAAAAGGTAGAAGGTGAAACTAGAGGGACAGCCGTACTGGACTTAATTCTTACAAACAGAGAAGAAGTGATAGAGGGAGTTGAAACTGCAGGGACCTTGGGAGAGAGTGACCATGTCATACTAGAATTCAACATAACACAATCACAAGCAACAGAATATAATGATACCAGAGTCTTGGATTTTAAAAGAGCTGATTTCAATAAACTCAGAGAGAACTTGGGAAAGATTCCATAGATGAAAATCCTGAAGGGGAAAACAATTCAAGAATCTTGGGAAACTCTAAAAAGTATGATCATAGAAGCCCAGACCAGCACAATACCACTGGAGAAAGAAAAACAAGAAATCCAAGAAGAAACAAAGATCTCTCTGGCAAATTGAAAGAAAAAAAGGACAAGTACAAAAAATGGAAAGAAGAACATACAACTACGGCAGAATATCAGCAGATAGCCAGAATCTGCAAAGATGAAGTCAGGATAGCAAAGGCTCAGAACGAACAAAGATAATAAGTCAAAGTCAAAGATAATAAAAAAAGTCAAAGATAATAAAAAAAGTTTCTTCCAACATATAAATAACAAGAAAGGAAACAGTCAGTCTACTAAAGAGAGAAGATGGCAAGGAAATAACAGGCAACAGAGAGAAAGCAGAACTGCTTAACTCATTCTTTGCATCTGTCTTCACGCAAAAGAAACTATAGCTCAACCCACCAAAAACGTAACTGTAAAAGACAGACCAGAAATAAAAGTTAAAATAAGCAAAAAATATAGTAAGAGAACATCTGTCTGATCTTGATGAACACAAATCACCAGGGCCTGATGGATTACATCCCAGAGTTTTAAAGGAGCTGGCAGAGGTCATCTCAGAACCACTGCACCATATCTTTCAAAAATCCTGGAGCACCAGGGAACTACTAGAGGACTGGAAAAGAGCTGATGTTGTTCCCATCTTCAAAAAGGAAAAAAAAAACAGACCCAGTGTCAGCTGGTGCTCCATTCAAAATCCAAGAAAGAAATACTTAGACTCTATTAATCAGAGAAAAGATATCTTTTGCTGGAAATCAAGTGGTAGCAAAAAAAGAATTCTGAATCTGAAAAAATGGGCGCATAAATCACATATACAAAGTAATGGCGACATTCCCACCCCCAATAGTTCCATTGGCTCATCCAATTAAAAGTTGTGTATATCATTATGTGGGCATCTCTAGGTGGTGATGAGGCCTCTGTCCATTGACCTTGATATATTTTGATAAAGAGTTGCAGCTGCGCATAGCAAAGGATAGAAGCCTAAGCAAGAATCTAACCACCCCCCAGCTTATACAGTTCTGTTTTGTAACACCTCCAGCTCAATTCCCATAACCAAATCCCCCCTCCTCCCCCTGTTACTTATGACAGCCGAAAGATAGAAAGCAAAAGGAGAAAATCTTGAAGGCTGACATTTGGCCCTCCTGCAAAAGAGACATTAGTCCTAGAAAAGATAAAAATAGAAGGTAACAGAAAATATACATGTAACACCATAATAGTATTTTTTTTAGGGTTTATCGGGATATTTAGTACGAAATGCCTTGATAAGATTAGGAGCTCTAACATCCTTCTCATTCACCCATTCAGACTGGGAAGGAGGAAAATGTTTCTAAACAATCAAATATTGGAGTCGACCCCTTCGTTTTCGAGAATCCAAAATTTCTTTAACTCAAAATGCTGTTCACCTTCAATTAGCAATGGCACAGGGGGACCAACCTGAGTTGGTCTCAAGTTGGAGGTATGTTCCGGTTTTAATAAACTAACATGGAACACAGGGTGGATTCGTCAGAGGGTTTTAGGTAATTTCAGTTGGACTGCCACAGGGTTTACAATTCGTTCAATTGAGAAAGGTCCGACAAACTTAGGTACAAGCTTTTTTGACTTTTGCGTGGTCTGCAAATATCTGATGGATAAAAAGACCTTGTCACCAACTTGATATGGTTTTTGTGGACTTCTCCTTTTATCTGCAAATTTTTTATGAGCTTGATGAGCACCATCTAATGCTATACGGGTAACTGGCCAGGTAAGCTGGAGTTGTGTTATCCATTCATCTAATGACTGAATGTTAGGTTTCTCCTGTGGAAGCTCGGGTATGGGTACAAAGTCTTGTCCCGAGACCACTTTAAATGGAGTAAACCCAGTACTACTATGTACCGAATTGTTATATGCCACCTCAGCGAATGGCAATAGGTCAGCCCAATTATCTTGCTGATAATTTATACAACATCAAAGATATTGTTCCAATACCGAGTTAGTTCTCTCACAAGCCCCATTGGTTTGTGGGTGGTGGGCGGAGCTTAAGCCCTGGGTGGAGCCCAATAACTTCAGAAACTCCTTCCAAAAGTTTGAGGTAAACTGGACACCCCTGTCTGAGATTATATATTCAGGAACCCCATGTAACCTGTAGATATGTAAAATAAACAGTTTAGCCAATGTTTGCACAGATGGGATTTTCGGACAATAGTTCAGTTGGCTCATCCAATTAAAAGTTGTGTATATCATCATGTGGGCATCTCCAGGTGGTGATGAGGCCTCTGTCTGTTGACCTTGACATATTTTGATAAAGAGTTGCGGCTGCACATAGCATAGGATAGAAGCCTAAGCAAGAATCTACCCTCCCCCCCAGCTTATACAATTCTGTTTCGTAACACCTCCAGCTCACTTCCCATAACCAAATCCCCCCTCCTCCCCCCATTACTTATGACAGCCGAAAGATGCAAAGCAAAGGGAGAAAATCTTGAAGGCTGACACCCAGGATACTATAGACTATAGACCGATCAGCCTAACATCAATACCTGGGAAGATACTGGAAAAGATAATAAAAAAACAGATCTGCCAACATCTAGAAACAAGTAAAGTAATAACTAGCAGTCAGCACGGGTTTGTTAAGAACAGATCATGCCAAACCAATCTTATTTCATTCTTCAACACAGTGACTAAATTAGTAGATCAGTAAAATACTGTGTGGACATAATACATTTAGATTTCAGCAAAGCATTCGACAAAGTAGACCACAACCTATCTCTTAGTAAGCTAGAAAAAAGTGGAATAGATAGCACCGCCACTAGATGGACTCACAACTGGCTGCCAAACCGTACTCAATGAGTAGTCCTTAATGGGTCTAAGTCTACATAGAGGGAAGTAAGCAGTGGGGTGCCACAAGGTTCCGTCTTAGGCCCAGTACTCTTCAATATCTTTATTAATGACTTAGAAGAGGGAATAGAAGGGGAACTTACCAAATTTGCAGATGATACTAAGCTGGCAGGAATAGCTAACACCCAAGAAGACAGTCTCAAGATCCAGATGGATCTTGACAGACTAGAATACTGGGCCATATCTAACAAAATGAAATTCAATGTAGAGAAAAATAAAATCCTACACTTAGGCAAGAAAAACCAAAAGTACACATATAGACTGTGTGAAACCAGGCTCAATAGCAGTAATTGTGAGAGGGATCCTGGAGTCCTAGTAGACAACCAGCTAAATATGAGCCAGCAGTGTGGAGCAGCACACAAAAAACCTAATGCAATCCTAAGTTGTATTAACAGAGGGATACAATCAAGATCAAGGGAAGTACTAATATCTCTCTATAAAGCCTTAGTAAGACCACACCTAGAGTACTGCATCCAGTTTTGTTCTCCACATTATAAAAAAGATGTTGAGACTCTAGAAGAAGTACAGAGAAGAGCAACCAGGATGATTAGAGGATTGGAGGCTAAATCATACAATGAACAGTTGCAGGAACTGGGCTTGGCTAGTCTGGTAAAGAGAAGGACCAGGGGAGACATGATAGCAGTCTTCCAATATTTGAGGACCTTCTACAGGGAGGAAGGGGTCAAGCTATTTTCTAAAGTGCCTATAGGCCAGACAAGGAATAATGGATGGAAACTGAACAAGGAGAGATTTAACCTGGAAATAAGGAAAAACTTTCTGACAGTGAGAACAATCAACCAATGGAACAGCTTGCCCTCGGAAGTTGTGGGAGCGCCATCACTTGAGACTTTCAAGAAGAGATTGGACTGCCATTTGTCAGAAATGGTGTAGGGTCTTTTGCTTGGGCAGGGGGTTGGACTAGATGACCTACAAGGTCCCTTCCAACTCTGATTATGTTATCTGTTATCTGTTAATTCCCATCTTGCTAAAATGAATGTGCCCCCAGCTTCATTCCCCAGACTTAAGTGTAGCCCTTTTTAAATAAATGGTCTCCCCACTCTATTTAAAACAATACAGGTTGTAGATTTTAGAGGGTTAAAACCTGTCCTATCCTGCAGTGCAGCAGTTTCTTCCAACCTGGTATCTACCATGTGTTTGGGCCAACCCCTAACATCCCCAGCCAATACAGTGAATTGCCTTGGTGGCTTTGGTAATGGGACCATATTTGGTTGACGCCAGATTGGGAAAAGTTGGTGTAAGGAGGCGATCTTAACTCTTTTCCAGTTTCGAATCTTGGACCACCTTAGGGCAGTCTCTATCCCTCAACCTCCTTTATGAGATTACTAGCTCGAGACCCATGCTTCGCTACAAAACTATGGTCGGGCGTAGTTTTGGGGGAGGAAAATAAAGGGGAAAAAAAATCTGCCTCTGCCTACAAGCATCCACCGGTATTCATCTGGCTAGCGTCCTGTCAGTGCGTGAGAGAGTTGAGGGCTGTTTGGAAAGTGAAACAATATTTGCTGTGTGAGGAAGAAGGAGACAGCAAGGAGCCTGGGCATGGCTTAGCTCAGCTGTTCTGTACTAAAGCTGCTTGGTGCTGTGAAACTAAACCTGAAACCGAAACTCCTCTCTTCTGCTTGTGTTTTGTATTTGGAACAGATTCCTTTTCAGGTGGGGATGGGGAGTAGAACTCCTTTGTATCAGATTGTGTTAATAATAATATACAAAATACTAATGCTTTGATGGTCATTTCAAAAAATCCAGTTTCTTAGTGAGCACCTAGAAGCCAAGAGGAACATAGGTGCCAAATTTGTAACAAAAAGCCATTGCTACCTCTATTCATTGAATGACTGCACCGGTTCTGGCATCCTTTGAATTCAGAGCCATGGTGAGTTAAGGATGTCAAAAAAAGCATAGGAACACAGGCTATAGTTCTCACATGCTCTCCCCCCCCGCCCCCCAGATTCATCTCCCCCCCTCCACTTAAACTGCTGTAATGAATATCTATTTTCCTCCCACAGCATATCAGCTATTATTGCTGCACAACTTTGTGTTACGGGGATATGCTCTGGACTACACAAATGCAGTTCATCCCATGATTTACTAGATTGCTTCTTTCTCACTAGAGAAATAACATTAAATTCAGGGTCAGTTGTCTTCCTGCAATTCTTCCACATAAGAGAGATCTGGGTGGAACATCCCTGCGGCTGTCATCAGCATATTGGAAGCTAAATTATAGTAAATGAAATTGCCAAGAAACAGGAGGAATCAGAAGGGACAAACGAATGTCTGAATATGGAGAAGGCCTTTGATGTGCTGATCTAACCCATCTAGGTGTGGGGGGAGGGGCAAGACAACAGAGTAATTGCTCAGTCTTAATATTGGAAACTTTTGAAGTAAATAATTTAGGATGTGCCTGAAGAACCTTGGGTGAGGGGGGAGGAAAGCACATTTCAAGGAGGAGGGGACTTTTTGAGAAAAAGCAAGCTGGGGAGCAGGTGCTAGCTGCCACACAGAGCCTTCCTGTAATTGTTCCGCTTTGCTTGCTTGCTTTGTTAGCCAAACAGAACACAGGGCAAAGAAAGATACAAACTCTATGAGGTTAGTGTGTATGTGTGTGTGTGTGTACCGTATATATGTTTTCTTATGTTGAATACCATACATACATACATACATACATACATACATACATACATATGGTATGTATGGTATTCAGCTTTGTTCGGGTATTTTCCCACATCTTTACAGTTATGCTTTTAAAGTTGTAGTGATGTTTCAGCTGAATACCATATATATAAATACCTGCGAACACACACGCACACACACACACACGTTTTCTTATATAAAGCATTGTTTTTGAAATAAGGGGACGGGAACTATACAAAGTTGATCTCATACTTAAAACACTGCTCAAAACAGTGATCTCATACTCAAACAAAGGAAATTTGAATAGATTTGCTCAAATAAATTTTTTGGCCCCACTGTTGAAAAAAAGTACTGATTCAGATGGATTTATTTACTTTATAATTTATGACTTGCCCCCTTCAGCAGACTTTGGGTGATTTTTTCATGTAAAAAATCATTGTTAGCCATCAATTTTGACAGTAAAAAAACTAAACCAAATTAAGATTTATTCTGAGTTGCCTCTAGACAAGATGGGTGGCACACAACTTAATAAAGAAAGAAAGATTTAAGACCTAGAACTGAAAGAAATTTAAACAATAAGAATTCATTAGATTTAAAAATAAGCCTTGGGAAAACAGCAAAATACCCCGAAGCTTAAACAGGCAACAATCTCCACTGTTCTTTTGCTGGCAAAAAGCATAACACAGCATAGCTCAATTTTGGAAAGGGAAGGCTTCCCCAGAGAGCTAGAGGAACTACAGAAAAAGCCACCCATTTAATATCTGGAGTGGAAGGCATGAGACGATTGCAAAGGAGAAGATGATGTCAACGGTTACCTGGACCCAAGTCACATAGGGCTTTCCTTGGCCAAAAGTATCGACTGGAATTTTGCTCAAAAAACATCTTAGCAACAAATACAGCCCCTGAAACCAAGAGCCAACATTGCCGAAGTGATTCCACCCACTGCATTCTACTCCAACTGTGCATCATGTTCAAAAGGCAGCCTGGAGTAGAGCAGTTTGCTGCAATTCAGCTGTGAGCAACGGGGGCGTGAATGATGGCTCCAGAAAGGGCTGTGGTTAGTCAAAGCTGCAGAAACAGCACAGATCAGCAATGGACCATAGAGTTATCTTTCCAGGGTGGTATAAGAATACTTGGGGCTATCCATGTGAAAGGCAATCTCTATGATCGATGCTTTGGGGAAGGAGAAGAAGAAAAAAAAAACATTTGTCAACAGACAAATTTGAATCTCAGCAGCGAGAAACTCAAAGAATGTCCTTGCCAAAATTCCAGTATGGGTGGGTTCCTGACAACTCCCTATGGGATTAGGTTCCTGGCTGGCTGGCTGTTTGCCATAATAGCTGCTTGGGATGCCATTGAGACACTGAATACGATTGTGCTGGGAAGCAGAAGGGGCAGGGATAACTTTTTCTCCAAGAGCATGTAGGCTCAGTATTAGACTAGTCAGCGTAGACATTAGGCGTTTGTTTTAAAGCATGGGCTATGCAAATGCTAAATGATTAGACCCGCGATGATGCAGTGGTTAGAATGCAGTACTGCAGGCTACTTCTGCTGATCACCGGCTGCCAGAAGTTTGGCAGTTTGGGTCTCACCAGCTCAAGGTTGACTCAGCCTTCCATCCCTTCCAAGGCTGGTAAAAATGAGGACCCAGATTGTTGGGGGAAATATGCTGACTCTGTAAACCATTTAGAGAGGGCTGTAAAGCACTGTGAAGCGGTATATAAGTCTGAGTGCTATTGCTATTATAGTGGTACTATTTGCACCCCATGTATGTATTGCTATTTGTCTAAGGGGAATATAAATATAGACTAAATAGAACAATGGCTTTCAGTTCTTTGGGAATTTAAAGTGAATGGTACGGTGAATTAAACTGAAAGGATATTTAAATGCATAGTACTGCTATGCCTGGAGGCTTCATTCAATATTAGATAGACCAGGCAGATAAACAGACTGGAGAGAGAGAGAGAGAGAGAGAGAGAGAGAGAGAGAGAGAGAGAGAGATTGCATTGTGCAGTTTGAAAAAAGACTTGGATGAAGTGATTCAGGTCTCATTTCTGCTTTTCATTAAAGTAGCCTGAAAAAAAATGTGGCTGCTTTAAAAGACTCACTGTTCAAAGTTAATCCAGTTCTTTGAGCAGGAGGATCTTCTTTTAGCCTGATGTGGAAGCCTGAAAAAGAAGCCAAGCTATTTTAATTCATTGCAAGGATTCATTTTCAAGGAATGCCTGGTGTCTTGTCTTTCTGACTGCCCGTATTCTGTTGTTTCACTTTTCTTATCTTTTCTCTCTCTCTTCAACTAGAGAATCCATTGCCTTGGGCACCACAGACTTCACCGAAGAAGATGTGGATAAAATCATGGAGGAACTGGGCAAAGAGTACAAGGGCAATGCTTACCATCTCATGCACAAGAATTGCAATCACTTCTCAGCTGCTCTGGCAGAGGTGGACTCACCTTCTATTCTTTCTCTGGGTATTACTTTATAATCCTCCGGCAATGTTGGTGAGGCAGTTTGTGGGCCAGAACAATTCCCACTATGATTAGATAACTATGGCTGAATCACTTATCATAACACAACAGAGTACCCTAATTGATACTATCACACCTCTCCTCCTTAGTATCTGGGGTCTCTATTTGTTAAGAATCCAAGGTGAATCTTTTTTAACACTCAGGTCAAGATCCAAGCAATCTGACACAGTTTCTTACCCTGATATTTTCTTAAAGCCTTTATATTCAAAAGAGGTTGTGTAATTCACAACCCAAAGTTCTTCTGGTCAATTATCCTGCTTTATTTATTCATGTATGGAAGTAGTGGTGATTCCATACACTGACTTCTATTCTTTCGAATCTTCTCATGTTTCCTAATATTTTGTCTGCCTCCCTCATTTTCTTGTTACCGAACATCCTTCAAAATGGAATGAAAAAGCATATCTTTTAGTGGTTAGTGCTGGCAGCTGTCCAGCTGGAGAGAGACACGAGGATCACTCCTGCGCCCTTTGGTAGCCATATAGGCAAACACAACTGACACATCAATCCATTCTTGCTCCTGTCAGTGATTGTCTTGGTTGATGTGTTCTTAAGACGAAAGTTCCATGATTTGATTAGGAACCAAAATGATTGGGTGGCATTCATTTGCTTTTCTTGAGCACTGAAATTATTAAGTAGGGCTTATTAGTTAAGGATCGGATATTTTCCTCTTTTAAAAAAAAGAAAGAAGGAAAGGGAAAAAAAACCCACATCTCATTTCTCTTGACACTGATATCTTTGATATTTGTAGTACAAACCAAATGAAGTGTCACAGAAAAGGACGCAAACTCCCATTTCTTTTGTAGCAGTTTCTCATTTCCTGAGTTATTTATGTGCCTCTGGACCATCATGAAATAGCTGTGCATTTTTTTTAATATAATGAGAATGGAAAAGAGGAAAAGGCCAGATCAGTCATTCTGACCTGCTTGATGGTCTCACAGATGAAAAACAGAGGAGCAGATCCAGTGGTGGTATGCTACCGGTTTAGCCCGGTTCTGCTGAGCTGGTAGTGCCGATGAGCAGCGGAGACCAAACCGGTTCTCTCCGCTCGGGCTCCCATACTCACTTTTATCCAGGGGTGGGATTCTATCAGTTTGCACCTATTTGCTAGAACCGGTTGTTAACATTCCAAGCAGTTATGACAACCGGTTGTTAGAAGAAATTACTGGACTAATCCGGTAAGGAAGGCAGGCAGGAAACATTCTGGTGTTGCTTACAGAAACTGCCTCTCCATTAACCCTTATTACATTCTTGGCAGGACTAGACTTCCTGTCTCAGGAACTTCTCTGGAATTTTTTTCCCCCTCCTTTGCTGGTACTTTGCTTGTGCGGAGTGACCGTTCAAAGTTACAATGGCACTGAAAAAAGTGACTTATGACCATTTTTCACACTTATGACTGTTGCAGCATCCCCACAGTCATGAGAGGCCAGGTGAGGAGATGTGTGCCACGATGTGAGTGATGTTGAGTTGGCCACACCCAACCAGTCACATGACCACCAAGCCATGTCCATCCAGTCACATGATCACCAAGCCAAGCCCACCACCTAAGCCATGCCCATAGAACCAGTTGTTAAAAATTTGAATCCCACCCCTGTCTTCATCCGGGAGAGTGCAGGATTGCAGGAGGTGAGTTGGAACGCCTCTGCGCCCGCGCAAAGTGCCTCTCTGGCACGCGTGTGCATTCAAAGTGTGTGCACGTGCACAAAGCGTGCCCACCAAGCCACGCCCACTGAACCGGTGGTAAAAGTTTTTGAATCCCACCACTGAGCAGATCCCCCATTAACCCCACTCCAATAATCCTTTCCTAACACTTGATTTTCTACAGTCACAATCCCCTGCTGACTGGGGGTGGGAGCTGGATACAGACAAACATTGCAAGACAAAACCTGGATTTATAAGACTAGCAGACATCAAAGGAATCCAGGGGAACATAGAGGAAATGAAGTGGCGAAGAGGAAAGAGTTAATTTTCCTTTCCCCAGAAGGTGCACAATGTCTATTCCACAGCAGCATTTTGCAGTGGAAAAAGGGGTTGACTGCTTCATGCAGATGACTGCAAGGAAACTGCAGTTTCGGAGATCAGATTACTGAGATGTATTCAAACTTCCTTTGCAGTGGAGAATTGAGTTGTGTAGGCGTGTGATGCGGTGTTTTTTTCCCCCCTACAAGACTCCGTGGGAAATTGAGGCAGCATTAAGCATCTCAAGGCATTTTCTCATTTGCTGCACCTTCTCTCTCGCTTCTGAAATGAGCTAAATAAATGTACCTTAAGCTGGAAATCATTACACATCAATGGAAGAATCAAGGGCTATTAGTGGAAGGCACTTGAGTGGTGACTTTTTTTTTTTTTTGGTTGCTCTATTTGATTTGATTGACTTATGGAAAGCAGTGTTCTCTTAGTGACAAAACTTTTTCTTTAAGGGATTGGCACCATGGTTCCCATTCTGGGAATTGTAAAGTAGGTTAATTGATTGATTTATATAGCTGCCTGCTTGGCAATCATCTGAGGATGGCGCATATCATTAATAGACAGCTATTAAATGTTTATAAATGCAATACACTAAGCAAATAATAAAGCAAAAACATGAAAACAGGGTCAGAAAAATAATCATCCAAAGGGATCATATTGTTTCCCGACCCTTTTGCCAAAATGCCCATCATGAGCAGAATTGGGGGAAAAAAATTGGCTGGGCTCACAAATTGAACTAAGCTATTATTTTGAGCATTCACTTGTTTTGACATGATGTTATGTGTAACCCCATCCAGTAGGCTTGTAGAATTACAGTATGTTTAATTTAACTCATACCGTCTTGCTTAGAGAAAAGTTAAGGTTTAGCTGAGCATGACTACTGGTGGCTACATATAGTTTATAATATTATAGTATTCTCATATTATACAATATGAGAATTGCCAGGGCCTTCTTTCTGAGTGTTTTTTTCAACTTTTATCTGCTCTTCAGCTTTGGAATTTCCTAGTGGTCTCCAATCCAAGCATTAACCAGGATCAATGTATTTAGCTTTTGGGAGGCCAGTCATTAATGTATGGGTGCCTGCAGGGAATTGGGGAGAGCAAGGCAGCTAGAAGTGGTATTCAGCAGGTTCTGACCAGTTCTGGAGAACCGGTAGCAGAAATTTTGAGTAGTTCAGAGAACGGGCAAATACCACTTCTCTCTGACCCTGCCCCCATCTATTCTCTGCCTCCCAAGTCCCAGCTGTATCCTTTTATTGTATCCTTCCCCTGCTATGCCAACCAAGCCACACCCACCAAGCCACGCCCACAGAACCAGTAGTAAAAAAAATTGAATCCCACCAGTGAAGTCGGCCCCATGACACATCTTTGCTTTTATAACTATGCTCTTTCACCTTTTTTTTACGGGATGAGGGGTGGCAAAGAAGACTGAGAAAGCCTCTGAACTCTACTAGTAGAGAGGCTCTCAACTCATGCATCCTGAACAACAATTCATAGGTGCAGAGAAGGTTCTGGTAAGAAGCAGCAAAGAGAATACCATCCTGCTCCCCTCTTCTTCACTGCTGATCAACTATTGTTCTAGCTGGTGCAAGGGAGAGTCCACTTTCAAAGAACTAACCTATTTCAATGCCCTGTAAGGCAGGGGTCCCCAACCACTGGTCCCCGGACCGGTACTAGTCCATGGATCATTTTTTACCAGGGCGCAAAGCTTGGGCACCGCCATCTTGTTTCGACGGCGCTTCCGGGTTTTCGGTTGGAAAGTGCTTCCGGGTTTTCAGTTGGAAAGCAGCGTTTGGGTGCAGTCCGTGGAAGAATAAATAATCGTGAAACCGGTCCCTGGTTCAAAAAGGGTTGGGGGCCACTGCTGTAAGGTACTATTTGGGAGGTGGGGGCAAAAGAGAAGGGATATGCTTGCACCAACTAAAGTGCCCAAAAGATGCTGGGTTCATCCCACCTCATCAGAGTGCACCATATTGTGAGGCAGATTTCATCCACAACAACAATAACAAAACCCCTGGTGGGGCCTGTTGCTTGCTTAAAGGAGAAAACACCACTGTGACACCACATCAGTCAGCAACCACTTTTAGCAGCTTCAAGCATGAGCTGGGGATGAAAGGGAGACAAGCTGATGACCTGTCAGAAAGCAAAGTAAAAAGCGTGTTTGTGCTATGCTTTGGTGTAAGAGGAGGGAAGGCACGAAGGATAGTAGAGAGCTTAGATGAGGTTATTATTGTTGTTATTTTTTTTCTGACGATCCTAAAACCGGAAACCATGTGACCACAGAAAGCTTTTGGCCGAGTGCTTTTGGAAGGAAATCAAGTACTCATTAAACCTTTCACCGCACAATGTAGAATAAGATTTCCTGGTATGCCATGCGGGACTTGTGTTCATCACATTCATCACATTTTGAACTATACACTCTTAACACAGCAGGAAGAAAATTGCTCTATTTCTGGAATGTGCCTGCCGAATAAACTACATGGCATCCTGCCATTTTCTCCAGATGTTATTGATTCCTGTAAGCTTCTGTTTTTCTCTGCAGGGAAGTTCACAGCAGAGTACCCCCTTCCCACAGGCAACCCCATTTTCAGGGTAATTGTAAAGCCTGAAAAATTGTAAGATCCACACATCAATGGCAGGAGTAAGTTTTAACTCTCAAGATTCTTTAGTTTAAGGATTAAACATAGTTAGGATTAAATATAGTTAGGCATAGCCAGGGGGTCTCCAACCTTGGTGACTTTAAGCCTAGTGGATTTCAACTCAGCAAAGCTGGCTGGGGAATTCTGGGAGTTGAAGTCCACCAGGCTTAAAGTCGCCAAGGTTGGAGACCGCCCTGGTTTAAGCTATGCTGGCTAACTTGTTGAAAGGTCACCTTGCTCCCTCCCCCCACTCATTTATTGATTAGTACATTTTATTGGATTCTTTTTCTTGCTTCTATGCCTCATAGTCGTGATTTTTTTTCTTTTCTCTTGCCAGCGGGAAAAGGAAAGTCAGTAGGAAATTATCCACCAATCGAAGAATAATTGTTTTTGTCTGTGTGTGTTCCCCTATCGTTTCTCAGATCCTGTGTGGGAAGGAAATCCCACGCTGGGTGAACCGCCTGGCCTACTTTAGCTCCTGCATTCCTTTCCTGCAAAGCTGCCTCCCCAAGGAATGGCTGACCCCTGCCGCTCTGCAGACTCACATCAACCTTGGCCTTCATAAGGAAGAGCAGGGAGACACGACGGACGAGGAATCTCCATCGACTTCCGCAGCTGCTTCGGCCCCAGGGCCTTCACGAACCTGCCGTCATACAAGGGTCTAAACTCTGCCCGTGGAAGTGGCCCTCAAATCTTTTCCCCCGACCCCACTGGTTGCTCCTCCATCTTTTCCTGCGTCTGCTCAAACTTTTGCCCCAAGAACCCGTGGAGCGTCCTTGCCAGGACAAGACAAAACCTTTGCCTCTTTTTCAAAGGGGCTGCTGCTGTTCCTTAAAGCAACATTTAGAATTGTTATCAACACGTGTCTTGAGATTTGAACTTCTGGAGCTGACATTCTCTGTATTGTGAAAATAAAGCAAAAAGTACTATGGTCTCTGGAATATGACACAGCAGCCCCGAAAGGAAGCCATATTGAGGGACAGATATTTCATCTGGAACTCTTTTAATTCTCTGTCTCCGGTCATTACGTGCAGAAAGCCTTCACTCTCATTCCTCCAAAGCTGTATCTCCTTTAAATATTGAAAAGAGGAGCTGAAACTAAGAGTCTCACTTTCTCCTCTCTCAGACCAGCAGCAAGCTCCACTTAACTGTCTCCTCACTCTTTTTAAATCACTAGTTTCTTAAGCCACAGGAAGGATCAATGAAAGGTGCTCCTATTCAACCACTGCAGATTTTGTGTGTGTGTGAGTGTGTGAATTCAAATACTGTATAATAGACTAAAGGACACTTTACTCTCCAACTACAGTAGCAAAAATTATTTAGAAATTTGTGTCTGAGTCTGCTTTTTTTAAAACCAAGAAAGAGAAACTTGATGATTATAGAACATCCTAAATTGTGAAGTTCAGTTCATGAACATGAATGCACCATCATATTAGAAGTCCTTTGGAAGTGCTCCAGGTACCCCACCTAGGAAGCACAGGTAGTCCTTGACTTACAACCACAATTGAACCCAAAATTTATGTGGTTAAGTGAGAACTTGTTAAGTGAGTTTTCCCCTTTTTTACGACATTAATTGCCATAGTTGTTAAGTGAATCACTGCAACTGATACGTTAATAACCTGGTTTTGCAATAGTGGTGAATATTTGTAGCTCGGGTGTAGGATGAGGGTGAAAGTTTGTTCTCCAAGCTCAGCGAATGAACCTTCACCCCTAGTAACCTGGTTGCTACATGAAACGGGCTTCCCCATTGACTTTGCTTGTCAGAAGGTTGCAAAAGGTGATCGCATGACTTGGGGACACTGCAACAGTCATAAGTATGAACCACTTACCAAGCAGCTGAATTTTGATCCCATGATCACAGGAATACTGCAAAGATTGTAACAGTGAAAAAGGGATCATAAGTCCTTTTTTTTTTTTAGTACAGTTCAGGGATGGGATGCTACCAGTTCTGCCCAGTTCTAAAGAACTGGTAGCTCTGAAGAGCAGCAGACACCGAACTGGTTTTGTGTTTGCTGCTGTTTGGCCCACCCACCTACCCAGGCTCTTACCTGACCTTTACTTCCTGACCTTTATTTCCTGCTTTTTCAACCTCAGCTACTTTGCGCGGCACAGCTAAGGTTGAAAAAGCAGCACTGCACACCAGAACAACTAGACACAAGAACAGTTTTTTCCTGAAAGCCATTACTCTGCTAAACAAATAATGTCTGGGAGGCAAAGCTGATGTTTGTTTCACATGCGCACAAAACATAGTCACCAAACCAGCAGTAACATCGGTTGAATCCCACCCCGGTGCAGTTGTAACTTGGAACAGTCACTAAACGAACTGTTGTAAGTCAAGGACTACTTTTAGTTCTTTAACTGAGGTTTGCAGTTTGCCACGTCTCCTTCTTTGGATATCCAAGATGGCATTGCTTTGAATCCAGGTAGAATAGTAAACTACCATCTCCTTAAGGAACTGTATTTAATGATGGCAACATGGTAGCCCATGCACGGCCATTAATAATACATAAAAGCTTCAGGGGTATCTGGGGTGGCAGTGGTAAAAGAATGGCAAACATGACCACACCATCAAAGCTCTGTCTTTCTAAAATATATTGTTCATGTAACAGATAGGGATGGGGTTCAATCTTGTGGTCGCCATCTTGACAATTTTGACACACAAGTTCACTTATATGCACAGAGGTACTCTTGAACAGTTTAGCATGATGTACAAGTACAGGCACTGACCTATATATCATGCATAACCTTCATGCTACATATTCCTCTCAGATAAGCAATATCACACAGTTATTCCCAGGAAGGGAATAAGGAATAATAAATTTAAATAATGAAAAGGATCAGGAAAAAAAGGAATAGAGCTAAAGTTAGTACATACCAACATTTATTATATTTTATCATGGTTTTTTTAATCATCGCAACCCATCTTTGCTTCAACCATGCCACTCTGTGCGTTACTTCTTGTTCTCTAAACTTTTGTTGTTTCAGTATCGTTATGTCATATCTTACCCCATTCTCACTACATTAACTTACTGTCATGCCAGTTCTTATTGCTATGTAAAACATAAGCAAAATCATGTTCTTATATGCTGCCGTTTTTGTTTATTTTGACAAACATTCACAACGCACTTCATACAACCTTTTTACCAGTATGTGCACACCTTAAAATTTAGCCTTTCATTTTCCCCATCTTTCAGAAGCATTTTATCAGGATATCCATTTTTATCTACTTTATTTTTTCTTACCAAATATTCATTAATCTTCAAACCCATATATCTCATTGCATCACGAAATCTAACAGTCACAGCAACCACTGAGTCTTCAGTCAACATAGCATCATTAATACACAAAAATGCACACCGATGTAGACATCTGCAGCCAACATTTTTCAATCATCCACAATAAGAATTCCTAATCTATTCCTTTGATTTTGTATATATCTAATGCTCTTTTCATATTCAGCAACCAACTCTGAACTCCACATTTATATATATATATATATATTGTAATTCAAGGCTATTTGATGTATCCATACTTCCTTTAAATCAACTTATGTACAATACAGTTTCCTATCCATACACATGTATTTCTCAATGAACAATGTCTATGGAAATTCTCAGTCATCTAGGTCAGGGATCCCCAACCACCGGGGCCTGGACCGGTACCGGTCCGTGGAACATTTTCTACCGGGCTGCCGGTTTGCTGGGCGCCGCCATCTTGTTTCAATGCGAAAGTGCTTCCGGGTGAGCTTTTCCGGTTGGAAAGCGGCGTTTGGGTCCTGAAGGAATCCTCACACCTTAGTTTCATCAAAGGGGGTGTGTGGCTTCGAATGAAACTAAGGCGCGAGGATTCTTTCAGCACCCAAGGCAAGGCGAGGTGAGTGACCGTCCCGAAGCCGTCCCGAAGCCCATCGACAAAGGTACAAAGGAGGAGTTGAAGGTGGTGGGGAGAAGCGGGCGATGGCTGGCTGGCCGGTCGCTCGGCTTGCCTTGCCTTGTCATGCGTGCTGATGCCGGTACCGGGCCGCAGATCATTTTGTGATGCCGGTACCGGGCCATGGCACAAAAAAGGTTGGGGGCCACTGATCTAGGTCATGATTGTCCCAAAGGTGTTTTTTCAAAAGTCCACATTGTGGACAAAGAGGACCGCTGGTTTGAAAGAGGGGCCAAATAGGCCATCTATGTCAAAACTGAACAGCCCCCTCTCAACAGAGAGGGAGGGATATGGCACCATCTATCTCCAATCTACAGCACACTCCTTTCCAACAATTCCCAGAAGGCTCCACACCCATTTGCACCACTCAGGTGACCTGATGACCCAAATAAACACCCAGATGACCTTAAAGACTTCCTAAAAGAATGCAAATGACCAAGCTGTCTGCAAGATATATAAATCCTTCTATTCCCCACCATCTATCAGAGCTGAAGAAGCTTCTTGGATGAGAAGTGAAACATCTTCAAAGAAAAACCAGAAAGTCCAGTTGCCTCCCAAAAAAGCACTTCTGGGATTCTCAATGAACAAAAAAAAATATGTTCTACCCAGCCCTTGTTTGGCATAAAGTTGCACTGCATTTCCCAAATTTTGTTCATTGCCATCTCTTGCATCTTTTGATTTCTGAATTTTTCAAAACACCTTCCCGGGTATCATTAACAAATCCCCCTGTGTTCCCTTTTTGCCATTTTTCTCTTTTTATAAGAGAATAATAACAGCATTCTTCTAATCATCAATATAGAAGAAATTGTCACCCACGATAAACAATCTGCACAGCCACAACTAAAGCAAATCACATCTCTATTTTAACATTTCTCCAGTTATAGCAGGTATACGTATAGCAGGGGTGTCAAACTCACATAATTACGGTGGGGTCACATGATGCATTGGGACTTTTTCCCCCTTCGCTAAACCAGGCGTGGGCATGGCCAGTACATGATGCATCTGGCCCATGAGCTGAGAGTTTGACAGCTCTGACCTATAACCTTACCCTTCCTCAAGTGTCTGACATCATTTATACCTTCCTTTCCAGGAGGTTTTCTTGGCTACTAATATTTATAGAAATTCAAGTTCATTTTTTGACATACAACTATAATTCCAAGTCTATTAAATACGCCTTTCAGTAATCCTTCACTTCAGTTTCATCCCAAATCATCGCTTTCTTTTTATTTCTGTACACCTTGTAGGCAGCTCTTTGTTTAGCCACTTCAGTAACTTTCAAAACTATTTTTAAAATTTCCATTGTTATATTTTGGCATGACACTATTTTTTGCTCTTTTCGATTGCATTCTTCATAAATATATTTTCTCCATATCCACTCTTTTCGATTGCATTCTTCATAAATATATTTTCTCCATATCCACATTATGCATTCTGTTTCTCTCGTCCTTTTTTTTGAAGCAATCATTTTGTCAAATATATTTTCCCATACATAGCTTATTTTACCATCATTCCACCATGCAACACTTTTCATGTTTCTATTGCTTCCTCTCACTTCCCATTAATTCTGTCTTAGTCTTTATACTTTTTGACATTGACAGGTACTTTCTCTTCTTGTAATTCTTTCATTCTTCCTTTCTTTGTTTTGTTTCATGTCGATTCCCCCTCCCCAATCTACTCCAAATGTGGAACTAATAATAATTTGTTCCACATTTAAAACATCTCATGAATCCTCACTAATTCTCTCACTCCTCTTTCACAAGAAATAATCAAATTGATTATGCTTTTATATGCATATTCATTCCTCTATGTGCATTCATCATGATATCATAGATACAATTTTTCAATCATAGCCCAATCTAATACAACCTAGGTATAATAATTGTGGATTTAGCATATATTAGCAAGCTGAAAAAAGTACAAATTTGTATCTATGCTGTCAACTTTGGTTCCAGGTAGTCAAATTATTGATCAATCAAAGCTACACTTCAGTCCTGGATTTATGAACTCTTATAAACATACAATAGTTCCCATTCTCTTTTTTTTTGAGACAGCAAAGCTTATTTTGTTACCTGGTCTCTGACATGTCTTAAACATTACCTCAATTTTTGCTATTCTTAGCTGGTTTTTTTTTTTGTTTTTTGTTTGCTTCTCCGGTCTAGTGTCTCCATATTGTCTGCTATTCTGTTTATGTTTCAAATTGCCACTGCACTGTCTCTGCTGACCATATTTACTGAACATTTTTATCATTATTAGAAACATAA